ACATCCATGGAGATCAACTCCCAACGGGTGGCATATAGTTGAAGATGGCTATCTATGGGAGGATTCCCGTTAGTGGTCACTTGGACCTGCAGTAGGAGCAGTTGTTGGAACCGCTGCAAAAGGGTGTTGAAAGGACTGCTACTGGTGGTGACCCTTGTCCCTGAAATTGGCTATACTCTATCCACGGTCATTTCCCTGGGGATATGACCTCTAATAAGAGGTGTCCACATTTGAGGAATCAGACCCTTGAAAGGACTGCCTCCAAAAAAAGGAACCCCCCTTCTTGTCTGGCTTCTTAGTGGTGGCAGGAAGAACTTTCCTCTTATCCTTGGTTTCAATTAAGAACTTTTCCAAGGGTTCCCCAAACAGTTGTCCGCTTTTGAAGGGGGCGGAGGCCAACATCCATTTTGACTTCATGTCTGCCTGCCAGTGACAGAGCCACAGCAGACTGCGTGAGGTCACGTTAGATACTAAGGCCCGGGAGGCAAACTTGGCTGCATTGAGTGAAGTGTCAGCCAAATATTCTATAGCCGCAATTATCTTATTAAGATCGTGCCTCAACCTGGACCCTGTTGAGGTGGGGTGAGCTCTCAGCTGCCTCAGCCACAGTAGCGAAGGTCTAGTAAAAAAACGACGCTGAGGAAGAAGCCCTTATGGACCAAATGGCCACTTGGTGGGTTTTGTGGCAAGCTTTCTCTGCCTTTTTGTCCTCGGCTTTGAGGCCCTCAAGGAGGTCAGCGGGAAGGACCGAATTGGAGGTAAGGGAGATAATTGGGGTATCCACCTGTGGCAGTTGCAACAAGTCGTCTAGTTTGCTCTCCACAAAGTAAAGATTTTTGTCTACTCCGCTGGGATTGGTCAGGGAGTCCTGTTGGGCCCACTGACACTGAATCACATTGACAAACATGTCTGGCACTGGAACTAGTTCCTGTGCCGGGGTGTTCTCATCAAAAAGCCCTTCCTTCGGATCCTGAGATTCAGAGGTATTAGTGGAACCCTGGGTAGTAATACCCAATTGGGTAGAAGCCTTGGCCTTATGCAATATTGACTTAAATACGGAAGGGTGAAATAAGCCAGTAAAGGCAGGTTTTTCAGGAGGAGGATTCTCATCCTCTGAAAATTTCTGCTCCTCTGCATTGTCCTCCTCCAGGACAGATTCCTCTGTGGCGATAGAGGTGCCTGGAGAAGGGGGACCTTGTACCTGGTCCTCTGGGACAGGCTTCTGGATAGTCTTGGCAGAAGTGGCTTTGGAGGCCTAGAGCTTCTTTCGAATACCAGCCTCTATGCCCTCTCAATGGCCTGTTCAGTGGCCCTTTGCATCTGAGAGGACAGGTTGGGGCCCTAATCCTCAGGGCATCTTGATGTTTCCGGTCCCTCCCTGCCAGCCTGTCTAGAGGGAACTGGATTCTCCTCAAGAGTAGAGCAGCCAAAAGGGCATATTTCTTCCTGGATGGAGGAAGACTCTGGATACCCCAGGGAAGCTGCAGGTGAAGAGGCTTGAAATTCCTCCTCCATAATTGGGGGAGAATTACACTCTCTTGGAGAATCCTGGGGAAAAGCCTCTTGAGGCTGGGGCAAGGGACTAGGATCCCTAGATGGNCCTCCATCATTCCCCTCTACCCTACTTCCCCTCCCCCTCTACCACTCCTCTCTCCCAGTCCACTCCCTCCCTTCCTTCTCGTGTATTATTGCAGTGAAGCTGAAGTAGTCGTAGACAGGTAGGATGTTGTAGCAGATAATTTTGTGTACTATGCTTAGGTCAGACCATAGGCGGTGTAGTTCTAGATTGTCCAAGCCCAAAATTTTGAGCCTGGTGGCATAAGGTATTCTGTTGCGAGTAGAGGAGTGGAGGACTCTTTTGGTGAAATACCTCTAGACTCCTCGATTGTGTTAATGTCCGATATACAGTGCTGATTCCAGACGGACGAGCTGTATTTGGGAATTGGTCTAGCAAACAGTGAAATTGTGAGCACGCAATCTGAATGGGTAGCACCTTACCAACTGCAAAAAGTTATTGATCCTTTAAAAAGTATATGTAATGAGTTCAGCAATTAGCAATTGATGTTTTATATAAAAGGAAAAGCTTTTAAGGTTCGTGTTTCCTTCAATGCAGAAAAGACCAGTAATCAACCGAACGTTTTAATAAAAAAAACTAAAACCTATTATAGACGTTTGACTATGGAAAATGTGTTTAATGATATAATTTAGTTTGTGTGTGTTTTAAAATCAGATATTGAGGCAAAGGGAAATTATCCTTTTCAACAAGCCATCTAATGGACGATAATAATTCTAATTTAGAGTTAAAGCAAAAAGAAACAGAAAGTGAGTGCTTTTATATTTGATCACCATCAAATAATCTCTGCGGAAGAAACCAATATTTTATTGATGAGCATTATTGCTGCAATTTTGCTTCTTAGTTTCTCAGCTTTCTAGAAGAATCTTATGTATTTTCAGCAGCTCCTCTTTCCTCCTCTTTCTTTGATCTCCCTGTAAATCGTAGGTACTCATAGAAATCTTAACAGTCAGGAATTCATTCCATTCATTTGACAAGGTGGAGACATTTAGCCTTTAAAGGGACAAGGAATCTTTTGGACTTTTTTTTTGTTGATACCCGGGGCTGAGGTTGGGAAGAAGGAGCTTGGGAGATGAGGTACCTGGCACCAATTCAAGATATTTCAGTAGCCAAGTCTACAATAAATAGATGGTCAAAATCAAGATATATGAGACCAAGCTGTTTTGGTCCACCGGCAGCCAGCGGAACTGGCAGCAGAGTCGGACAGTAAGGAGGTTGGGGAGGAACATGGGCCAGTCCTGGAGTCTGGGGAGGCAGAAGGGGCCAAGGCCATCTGGTAGTTATATGCTGCCTCCGGAGTCTGACATCAACGAGACAGGAACAGGGGGTGCCTGTTCCCAGTGCGCGCATGTGCAGAGCTGTCAGAAGGCAAGAACAGTTAAGACAAAAGGGATGACTCGGGAGTAAGGCTTGGAGATGATTGGCCTCTCTCATAAGACATAAAAGAGGAGCAAACGGACATGAGCTTTTGCAACTTTGTTCGTTCTGGTCGGTTTAAACTCTGAAGCTCCCTTTGACTGTGTGTTCCGTTTGGCCTTGCCAAACTAATTGGCGATTAGGTCTTTGGCATTGTTTCAAGGGAGATAAAGGTGTGATTTTTACTGTCTCGGGAAGCCTAGACCAGAACACAATCAAGTCATGCTGGCATGTAAATCACGCATATGCATCTCCTTTTTCTAGCAGCCAAAATAAAATACTCCTGGATAAAATAATTATTTGTGGCCCTTTCATTCCCAATCTGGTTTCTCTCAGCCCCATTAAGTAAACCAGACCAGAAAATCAACTCCCCGGGGAAGCTAAAAAAAATTTGAGAGTCGCTATAGTAACAGAATTTTGCAAATTGGATTGTGTTGTACTTCTCCCAGTTCATTGAAATAAAGAGGAATCTGCCTAAACTACAGTATTTCTAAATGTTACTTTGATATTCTGGACTAAAACATTTTTCAGTCCTTTTCATCTGTCATGTTTTTGATCTCCATCTTCCTTATTCGCTACTCAAGATTGTTAACAGCCACAACTACTTTGCTAAGAGCCAGCTCATTCTTTGGGGCAGCGGTCCTAAACCTGTTTGGTACCAGGGATCCGTTTCACAGAAGATAATTTTCCCACTGACTGCCTGGGGGGGGGGGGGGGATGGTTTCTCTTTTGCTCGCTCTCCCACCACTGCGCTCCGGATGTGTGGCCCAGTTCCTAACAGGTCATGGACCAGTACTGGTCTGTGGGGCCCCCAGTTGAGGATTCGCTGTGTTTGGCTGTTTTTAAACATGATGACACATTTTCAGAGGATTGATGTCTGAAAAAATATAGAATTTGATTCAAGCTGCCATTCTTCTACTATATCTCTAAAAAAAATAAAATTGCAAGGGTTTTTTTCTTTTTCTTTTTGCATTTGCTGAAAATGTAGCTCATTAGCAATGACCTGGCAATGCAATTAGGGTGTTGGTATTTTTCATGTTGATCCGTAAAGATTTAAACGTATCCTATCCCATCCCACGCAGGGTTACTAGAGAAGAGGACTGTAGTACAACTCTTAAAATAAATTCGACAGTGAAGTGGCAAAAGATATAATTGGACAAGGTTCAACTGTGCAAGCCTAGAGGAAATGCTTAAGGTGGGGAAGAGCCCCCCCCCAAAAAAAGAACAACGTACTTGAAGGATAAAATTCACTTCTTGCAAATGCAAATGAATACACATCAGAGGGGGAGAAAATGTAGAGCGATTGCATATGCTGGTTTAATTAGTTTTAAATTAGCTATATTCATGCAGGGACCAGATCTCAGGCACATTATGGGCAACTCCAGGAACTGCTGTGCTCAGAGTGCAGCTGTGACCCAAATCCAGAGTTAAGTGGTTTAAATAAGAAATCAGCAGAGAAAAGCAAAAATGCCACTTTGGCTTAAAGTTCAGTGGAGCATGCTTTCTTTCCATTCTTCCTCACCAAGCATTGCACATTTATAAAGCTCTGGAATGAATCAGGAGCACTGCTGGGATATTTAATTTATCCAAGCAGGGCAGTGGGTGACCCTTTATGGAAAATCATTAATGAGCTCATTGGAAATGGTGTACGTATCTCTGTGAGTCAGGGGTGGGTTTCAACCGGTTCGCGGCGGTCCCTGCGAACTGGTTGGTCGGCGAACCCGGAAGTAAGTAACTTCCGGGAACAGCGAAGGGCGCGCCCACCCGCGGTCCTTACCCGGTTTTGACGAGTTTCGTGCTTCTACGCATGCGCAGGACGCATACAGCACCTGCGTGATCCTCCAGGAGCAGCTGGAGCGTCACGCAGACGCTAGTACGCATGCGTGCACCGCGCACGTGCACGAGGACGCCGCCGGCCCCGTTCCAACCGAACTGGTTGGAACGGGGCGAGAAACCCACCCCTGNATTTTCAAAAATACATGTTTTGGGATTGTTGAACAATCTGAAATTTATGAAGAGGTTTATGACCTGAATAATTCTGCTCTAAACTGCGGTAGGATTGCTAGAATAATAGGAAATGCATACCTTCAATTCATATGATGTATAATGAGGAAATGCTGTATCATCCAAATTATGTTCATGGCAAACTTACCTCAATTTTATACTGTTCAACCAGTTCTTCTTGTTGATGCACTTGTTCATGTAAACTTTTAAGTTCCGCTTCTGCAGTAATAAAATCTGCTTCCAAATCGTCTAGGGATGCCTACAATTGAACACAACTTGTATAAGCACTAGTCGTGAAAAATGTAATGGTGAAAAATGTAGGAAAAAAACATTTGGGATTCTTAAATGTAGGATACATAACATTCAATATTATAAGCTGAATCTTATATTTACTTCTGAATAAGTCTCCTATTAAACTGGAAATCTTTGTTAATATACATTTTGAAAACTAGAATGAACTTTGAAAGCTTTCCATCCAAAATGAAGACTTTCACAGAAGGATTAGGCAGGAAAAAAACCCTGTCTATTTCCATTAGTGTATTTTCAGCAAATCAAGACAGTCCTCTAAAATTATTTAGGGAAAGAAGTTCTGGAATTTCATTGAGGAAGTTAGACTGAGTAACGCTTTACTATAGATAAAAGTTTCGATAACTTGCCTTTAGCCTTGAATTTTCTGTAGAAATCTTTTTATTTTCAGAAGCAACAAAATTAATCTTTTGGATAATCTTGTTCGTTGACTTTCTTTCATCCTCTTCTATTCTGTTTAGATCCATTACAAGGTCTGTGGTCTGCCTTTCAAGTTTAAAATACAACACCTTTAGCCATTAATATGTGTAATAGTACGTGTAATGCTATTTAATTGTAAATGCATTGCGATAATTATAATTGGTTTAAATATGTTTAGATGCATATCTTTATATATAGAAANTAGATCTATACTAGTCTCCCTTTATTTATTTATCAGCACAAATACACACACACACACACACACACACACACACAAGATAGATAGATAGATAGATAGATAGATAGATAGATAGATAGATAGATAGATAGATATATTTGTACTTAGTTAGAATAGAATAGAATAGAATAGAATAGAATAGAATAGAATAGAATAGAATAGAATAGCAGAGTTGGATGGGACCTTGGAACTCTTCTAGTCCAACCCGCTGCTTAGGCAGGAAACCCTAAGCCACTTGAGACAAAGGGTTATCCAACCTCTTCTTTAAAACCTCCAGTGTTGGAGCATCCGCAGCTTCTGGAGGCCAGTAGTTCCACCGGTTCATTGTTCTGACTTTCAGGAAATTCCTCCTCAGTTCTCGGTTGCTTCTCTCCTCCTTGATCAGTTTCCATCCGTTGCTTCCCAACTGCTTCTAATTTCAAAGGTTTTTTATACGCCATCCAGAGACTGTTTCAAGGAATGGGGGTACAGCTAGTCCTCGACTTACAACGGTTCATTTACTCACTGTTCAAAGTTACAAGGGCGTCGGAAAAAAGCGAATTATGGCCATTTCTCACACTTATGACCATTGCACCATCCCATGATCAAAATTCAGACTCTTGGCAACTGACTAGTATTTATGCCTGTTGCAAAGTCCCTGGGTCACGTGATGATCCCCTTTTGCAGCCTTCTGAGAAGCAAATCAGTGGGAAAGGCAGATTCACTTAGCAAACCTGTTACTAACATAACAACGGCAACAATTCACTTAACAACTGTGTCAAGAAAGGTCATGAAATGGGGGGAAACTCACTTAACTCGCTGAGCGACATAAATTTTGGGCCCCATTGTGGTCCTAAGTCAAAGGCTACCTGTCCTTCTTATGTGTCTGCACTCTCCGTGTTCAAAGATAAAGGTGATTGATTCAGAGGATGAATATGGTTAATTTTACGTTTTAACCGCTGCCGCCGTCTCTTATTTCCCTGCAGAAACTCAACATATTGCATGAAAGTATCCATGTCCTTGACGGTTGCCGAAAATGAACTTGGACTTTGTTACAACAGCACAATTCGTTACTTGGAAAAATCAGAAATCACCAGGACCAAAGTCATTTCCTGCCCGGATACCGAGGATTACAAAACGGGCAAGCAAGAACAGGATATAATCTGGTATAAGGTGAGACAGTTACAAATAAGGAAGGAAGGAAGGAAGGACATAGATGGATAGATAGATACATAGGTAGATACTGTAGGATGGGTGGATAGATGGAGAAATAGATAGATAGATATAGATGGATGGATGGATGGATGGATGATAGATAGATGGATGGATGGATGGATGGATGGATAGATAGATAGATAGATAGATAGATAGATAGATAGATAGATAGATAGATAGATAGATAGATAGGAGAGAGAGATAGGATGGATGGATGGAGGGACGGAGAAAGAGAGAGATATAGTTAGTTAGTTAGTTAGTTAGATAGATAGATAGATAGATAGATAGATAGATAGATAGATAGATAGATAGATAGATAAGATAGATA